AGAGAGAGAGAGAGACTCTTTAGAATTCAAATGGAGTTCTTTGATGGCTTTAATGAGTGGAAGACCATGGTGATTGGCTGGATTGCCAACCTTGATGCCAAGTTCTCTCTCTCAAGTGACGACTGATGCAGTACCACACCATGCTCAGCTTTAGAAGCAGTTGTTTCCACAAGAAATGTCTACCCCCTTTTAGGGCCTTTTTTTTTAAGTTTGATATCTTTTCAGAGTTTAGGTTTTAACTAACCCTCTGCTCCAAATCATTCTGCCCATTTCCCCCAAAACCCGACCCTAAAGCTGATTACTGGCCCTCAATTTTCAAAAGTCACTTCCTTCACTGCTAAGTAGGCCACAAAGTGTCAGTATGTGTAGTCCGATCGTCCCCATTATTCATCTGAACTATTGATGGGGAAGATGATCTTATACCATACGCCATTCTGCATGTTGTACTCTCTTTCCCATTAAAGGGCTTATTTGCTGTTTTTTCTTACTATCCACTTTCTTACCTTGAACAGCTTACCTTGCACTCTCTTTTCCTGGTTTTTTCCAGAGATATTACTTGCTTTTGCCTGCAATTCCTCAAGCCTATTTGTTTCCCTTGATAATCCATTCAAAACTAGTTTGCCATGTATCTGGATCTTTCCTCCTTTGCTTCTTGTTTTTTTTTTCCATTTTTTTTTTTCATTTTGCATTGGTAAGGTAAAAGCTGAAGATTGAGTCTATGTTTATCTGATTTATCCTGTTTGTTTCACTGATTTGTTTGTTGTCCTATTTTTGGCTTCTATTTCTCTTAGTATTTTACCTATTTGGCAATTATGCTTTTTGAGTGTTTTGAACAGTTATGCAATGATGCCTCCCAAAATTTCTCTGCTTCTCGAGTTTACTAGTTTTGGAGTTGCATGTTTTCTTCTTGCATGCCCTTGGTCTTTCTTTTCTTTTTGCCTGTGAAATAATTTAGAGAACTTATGAAATTGAGGTAAATTGCTTGTTTGTGAGCTATAATGTGAAGTTACAGACAAAGTTTCTTATGTAATTTCTCCGGGGAAAGTTTGTGGTAACAGGAAAAAATTCATTGAGAGATTCATGCTCCTGTGGGAACGTACTGTCCATTTACTCTCTTGGTTTAAATCCAATCTTGGAGTGTTATTGGATGTACCTCTTCAACCTAATAGCTTGAGAAAAGAAATAGTTTTTCATGTACAAACTGTAACTACATGAAAAGTATCAGGCTATAGGATCTTGCCTAGATGGTCGAACTTTTGGGTTCTCAGATCTAGGTGCTTCAGTACTCAGTAAATTTTTTGTTTAAAAACTCTACATTGATTCTAAAGTGGTTCCCAAAATTTTCGGATAAAAGAAAATCTTTCTGTAGGGTTATTTGCCGGTTCTAATAAAATGGTTTTTGTACTTGCTTTATAATTATGAACAATGTTTTAAGAACCAACAAGCCGGCTTGAACCGGTTGGTGGGTGGTCTAGGTCTGAAGATCCTCTGGACTTGACTTGGTTTTTCATTGGTTTTATATTTTTATCTTTGAATACAGAGTCTTTTGCCGGTTTTACATTTTTATTTTTAAATAGAAAGCCCCTGGGAACCGGCGAGCTGGGTTTTTAAATATGAAAGCCCCTGGGAACCGTCGAGCTGGATCAGTACTGGCAGTGCCAACTTGGCCTGGCCTATCGCTAAAACCCTGTTTGTTAATATGTGATGGAATGAAACGGTGGGAGCTTGTGTTTTCACCATCTGACAACCTGAAGTTTTTAAAATTCAATTGGGTCAATTAACAAAGGGTGCAGTTTGTATAGAGCTGAGGCTCTAAACAATCAAATTAGAGCCCACCTTCAAATAGTGTTGAGAAATATGGTTTCAATATTGGAAATCTTTGTGATAGCTCTAAAATATATTTCTTTAATTATAAAATATAAAGTTTCAAAATAGTGTAGATCAAGCAGATCTATAAAAATCTTGAAAATTAATGGTTCAAAAATGCGTTAAAAGATGTATTATTTTCAAAACTTGAAATCCATTTTTTTTTTTCGTGTGCATGCATGTTGATGTCGAGATGATCAATGGGAGGATATTTGGGCATCAAAATAACTTTTTCTAGTGAATATTTGAGGTGGGTTTTAATTTGATTGTTTAGAGCGTCGGCTTTATATAAACTTTTTCTATTAACAAATGAGTTGCTTGGAACTCCCCTCCCCCAGACAAAAGAAAATGTTGGCTTGAATAAAATCTTATTTTGTTCAAGAAACCTTCGGGTTTATTGGGGCACACGCAACATGTTCTCTTTTGTTTGAACATTAACACAAACTTTTCATTAACTCAAAATAGTCAAAATTAGTGTTACAAGATACAAGAAAAACATGAAGCAAAACAAGAGGAAGCATAAGGAGAAATTGATAGGCACAGAAGGGGAATTAGCTCCTCCTTTGGCTAAGGCTGCTGTCTTGTTCGCCACACGAAAGCAATGCTATAAGAAAGCGTTAAATGAAGAAAGGATGTTCTTAATCTCAAAAGACAAAACTCAAAAAATTTTATGGAACATTGATCTCTTCATGACTCCTGCCTATGACATTTGTCGAGTCTCTTTCAATAATGTTCTGCCCCTCAACATTGAACTATCAGGTTTTTTGGGTATACGCAACATGCTCTCTCTCTCTCTGAGCCTTCAAGCCCATCTCTATCCAGCATAGCAGCCCCTCCAGTTCTTCTCTCTCCACTATTGCTTCCTCGGACCTTTTACTCATGAGTTTAGTTTCAATTTATTTTGCCTTCATAGTTGCAAATACAAGGCTTTTTTTTGTAGGTTGCATGTTTCCTTGGATCTTTCAATTTTGATATTAAAAAGAAAAATTCATCGATATAAGATATTTTTCAAAAAAATTATATCGAGAAATTATAGAGAATTACAAGAATTTGCAATTTTTTTGCATTTGATCGATATTACCTCTTTGACGTATGAAATCAATTGATATTGGATACTTAAAAAACTATGAATCAATAGAGCTCTTTTGAAGCTGATGTCAATAGATTTAAAACAAATTAAAAAATCAGAAAAAATTGATGAGTAATTCGAGTGAAACAAAAGATTTAGTGGAATTTTTTATAATTCATCCATATTATCTCTATGATGCACTAAATCAATTAATATTGGAGAAAGAAAGGCAAACTAGTAGGGGGGCTTTTAATTTTATTTCAATAGCTTAAAAACAATCTAATAATCATAAAAAAATATTTAGAAATTAAAGAGAAATAATAGATTTTGCAAATTTTTGACAGTTCATAGATATTACTTTTTTTATGTATAGAAGTAGTTGATATTGAAGTAAAAAAACCACGAATATATGGAGGGATTTTGAAGCTAATTTCAATAGATTCGAAACAAATAAAAATTCAGAAAAAATTGTTCGAGTAATTAGAGAAAAACAACAAATTTAAAAGAATTTTTACAATTCATCGATATTACCTCTATGATGTACTAAATCTAATGATATTAAAGCAAAAACGCACAAATTAGTATAGGGGTTTTCAAGTTTATTTCATTATCTTAAAAAAAACTAATAATAAAAAATTGTTGTCGCGAAATTAGAGAGAAATAATACATTTTGTGGTTTTTTGGTAGTTTATCAATATTACCTCTTTATGCACGAAATCAGTCGATATTGAAGTAAAGAAATCATGGATCTATAGATGGCTTTTGAAGCTGATTTGAAAAGATTCAAAACAAACCAAAAATTAAAAATTGTTGAGTAATTAAAGAGAGAACAAATTTTACGGAAGTTTTATGGTTCATTAATATTACCTCTATGATGTACTAAATCAATCGATATTGGAGCAATAGAGCGAAAAACAGTGGACGGGTTTTCAAGTTTATTTCAATAACTTAAAAAAAAAAAACTAATAATAAGAAAAATCTTTTGAGAAATTAGAGATAAATAATAGCTTTGGCAATTTTTTGATAGTTTATTGATATTACCTCTTTGATGTTGATGTCCGAAATCAATTGATAATGGAGCAAAAAAACCACATATCTGTACCTCGCTTTTGAATGTGATTTCAATAGCTTCAAAACAAACCAATGATACTTACTAGAAAAAAAAAGCAAAGCGTAAAAATTAGAGAGAACAAAGAGGTTTGGTGGGGAATTTTGTTTTTTTGCTCAAAGAGTATTAAAAAAACGAATTATTATGATGATGAAACTTGATAGATTTGTGAATCAGTACATGGCTTTTGTAGATGATTTCAATAGATTCAAAACAAGTCAAAGTCGATCGATTTGGTGGATAAATAAGAGAGAATAGAGATGTTTGACGGATTTTCTATTTACTGCTCAAAAAAATCTTAACATCAACAAATTATATAATTAAATCTTATCCAATTTGGGTTTTTATGAACACAAATCGTATCATAGAGATTACATTGTTGTTAAAACACAACAAGTTTTCCAATAGTCTATCAAATCATTCGAGAATGTCAAAATTTCACATCAATAAACTTTCTATATATTGATAACCGAGTTTTATGTGCGGAAACGCCATACTTGGGCAAGTTTCACCGATTTGAGCTTGTTTTACAAAATTCCTTCAAGTCCTATTCATTCAAGGGGTATAACATCAGGCGAGGCCGAGGAACTCGGTCGAGTCTAAGAACCATATCCTTGATCATTGATTTTGGTTTTTTTTTTTACGTTGCTTATTACTGTGAATTTGGATGGCTAAATTTATTCCATTGATCAAGTTCAAACTTCAAAAGAAATTTTCTTGAACCTTGTGATAGATCCAAGCTATTAGATTTTACATCAGATGGGTATAAATAATTGTGACTTCCTTGTATCAAAAGTAAAAGGTGTCAGTTATATACAATCCC